ATAAGTTGGAGCATGCTGTAATCCAGTTCTGAGTTCAGTTATCTGAGAAATGTGGTGTGACTCAGGTTCTATTGGTGGGAAAAGGCATTTTCTCCTATGCAGAGTTGGAGTAGTGCCTGAAAAAGAGCTCTTTGAAATTAGAATGTTCACACGTTGCTGCTGAGAATGGAAAACAGTCTGGCAGTTCCTCAATAGGTTCAACATAGATAGCTATGTGACCCAACAAATTCACTTCTAAATGTATACTCAAAAGAAATAAAAATATATGTCCACACAAAAACTCATACATGAATGTTCATAGCAGCATTATTTATAACTAGAGGCCCGGTGCACGAATTTGTGCACTAGTGGGGTCCCTCGGCCTGACCTGTGGGATCCAGCCGAAACCAGCTCTCTGACATTCTCTGAGGGGTCCCGGATTGCAAGAGGGTGCAGGCCAGGCCGAGGGACCCCACCGGTGCATAATCGGGGCGGGGGAGGGATGCGGGAGCTTAGCCAGCCAGGGAGGGACCGCGGGAGGGCTCCAGGGCATGTCCGGCCTGTCTCGCTCAGTCCTGATCAGCCGGACCCCAATAGCAAGCTAACCTACTGGTCGAAGCATCATAGCGAGCAGTTGAGTGGCCTTAGCATATCTTTAGCATATTATGCTTTGATAGGTTGAATGGCCGACCTGTCGACCAGACACTTAGCATATTAGGCTTTTATTATATAGGATAGCCCCAAAGTGGAAACAATGTAGATGTTCATGAACTGATGAATGAATAAACAAAATGTGGCATGTCCATCCATGGAATGTTATTCAGCCATTAAAAGAAATGAAGTATTGATACATGCAAAACATGGATTAACTTTGAAAATATTATACTGAGTAAAAGAAGGCAAACACAAAAGACCACATACTATATGTTTCCATTTGTACAAAATGCCCAAAATATGCAATCTGAAGAGGGAGAAAGTACATTTGCAGTTACCTAGGGCTGGGGAAGGTGGGAGGGATGCTAAATGAAGAATGTTTCTGCATAACAGTTGTACTATCTGTTGTGGTCAATGGCCCCTACATAGGGACTCATAATTCTTCATCAATAGCAAATGCTCAAAGGGAGTTTCTGTCTTTTAAAGAACTAATGAATCTCTCTTTTTTTGTGGTTTGTTTGCTTGGCTCCTTGTAATGCTTTTTAAGATTGGATAATGCGACCACTGTTACCAGTATCTCTTTTGGCTTTGGCTGCTAGAAAGTTCAGGACTACTAACAATCATAGTAACATTGTTAACTAGGTTAAGTGACTAGTGTATTTTCTTTTCTTTTACATGTTTTGGTGTGGGTTCTTTAAATTTTGCACACAAATGTAAGTATTTTATTGTAAGATGCCTGTGGTCTTTATCAGTAGCAGTTGGGATTTAAATTACAACAAATATAAAAAGTATATGTGAAAAACTAGAGGCAGCAGCTGCCAAGATGGAAAAGAGCTCTTTCTATGTAAAATAGCGACTTTAGTTTTCAGGCATAAAAGCAATATTGATCCTTAACTAGGTTTTTAAACAAACAGTGAGCTTGAGCTCCTAGACACCGGTACTGTTGAAGCAGATTCTAGATGACAGTCTGTCTATAGATTCTGTAGAGGTGAATTCTGTACTGAATAAGAGGTCAGACTTAAGACTATCATTCTGTGATTGAATTGGCAGTATAAGTTTCTGACTATACAAAGCACTGAGTGGTAATTTTAAAGTGGGTAATTTTTATTCTAAGAATTTATTTGACAGCTCAAAGTTTCAGACATATAATACAAAAGAGATAATTTAGTGTGAAACTATTAAAACAGGTACTACTAGTGCATTGCCTAAAGAACTCAGTATAGTGATTGTTCTGAATGTATGTTTTCAGTTGCATAGCACCTCTGCTAGGATGAATTAGTATTAAATGTACCCCTGAATATTGATTGCTAGGGCATTTAAAAATTACGTATTTAAACATTAGAGTATATGTTCCTAACAGAACTGTTGTATTTTAACTTTAATAAGTTGCTGCTGCCCCTTCTTCCCCTCTCTTTCTCCTCCTTCCCCTCCCCCTCTCCTTCCTCCTCCTCCTCCTCCTTCTTCCTTCTTTTAAAAAAATACCATTTTTCCTAGTTTCATTGAGATGTAATTGAAAATAACATTGTATAAATTTATTGTTTGGTGAAACTAAGTTGCTCTTCTTAGCATTAGTCAGTCCTTTTACTGGATCTACTCCTGGTTAAAGTTTAAAAAACAAAATATAAAACAAAATAAAGTATTAGCAAAGAGGAGATAGCTAGATAGATAGATAGACAGACAATAGACTGACTCCCTAAATCTCCCTCTGCTACTAAAGGTCCCGTATAAATGGATCTAAAAGCACCATTCATGATGTTTCATGAATCTATTTCTGCCTGTTTTTGTTCTTAATGTCATTATTAGGATTTGGGTTTTGCTGAATTGATAGCTTAACATCAAATTGAGATGTTCCAATTTGATGGGTCCATAAATACTATTTATTTATATTGTTGTGCATATCTGCCACACCTGTGCCATTAGAGCTATAGGAAGAATTTAATTGTGTCATTGCAAAATTTAGAGAGTTGCAAAATTAGTTTCTAAACACCAGGTGATAGGAAGCGAAAAGCTTGCACAGGAGAGATGGCTGTCTAAAAGCCATGTGTAGTACAAATACCAGTAGATTACAATAAAGCGTGAAGGAAAAGCATAAAATTAAGTTCCTTGTGTTCCTTTTCTTCTGCCACATTCAGGGGTCCAAGTTTTAGGAAATGTTAGGAAATTTGTTAGGAAATGATTTTGAAAAGGAAAAAAGGAAGGAGACCTTAAGAGGGAGGATAGAGCCTCTGGACCAGTGGAAATGTACCAGTTGCATTAAGGAGCAGGGTTTAAGACTCATAATCAGCAAATCACCGACACTGCCTGGTGTGGTTGGATCTAACAGTCTTAATTCCTTATAGCAGGGGTCCTCAAACTACGGCCCGCGGGCCACATGCAAATACAAATATTGTATTTGTTCCCGTTTTGTTTTTTTTACTTCAAAATAAGATATGTGCAGTGTGCATAGGAATTTGTTCATAGTTTTTTTTTAAACTATAGTCCGGCTCTCCAACGGTCTGAGGGACAGTGAACTGGCCCCCTATTTAAAAAGTTTGAGGACCCCTGCCTTATAGTGAGGGATTTTATCCTTCCTAGTTTTGTCCTTTTGAAGAGGATGGGAAGTTCTTTAGGTTTGTGTCTTAGTCTATCAGAAAGGAAAGGAAGATTATGAAAGGATAAGTGTCAGTCTAAAGAGTTTAGGAAGCAGAGAACACATGTGGGACATTGCAGCCTTTATATGCTAATCATTGGTAGATAGTAAAGCTACCTGTTATCCTCCTGCTGGTTGCTGAAGCACATGAAACTCTGTCCCAGAAGGTTAGATGATCATGTGTTGCAGATACCATGTTCCTGAGAACTCGAACTCTAGTCAAGGTTTGGTGGCAGAGAACGTTCAGAATTCTTTTGTTTGGAAGGGGGTTCTCTGTTTTAAAAAGTCTGTTGGGAATAATCTTGATCCTAATCCTTACCTCCAACATTTGTGGTCTTTGGATTTTGGAAAGGTGGACAGCAGGAGAAAGGAAGGACTCCACCAGTTCTTTTTTTTTTTTTTAGACTTATTTTGAGGACTGCTGGGAGATTTTGCGAATTTACTTCTTTTTGTTGCCTAAATTGCATTTGAGCAATTCTATGAAGACATCCTGACTGGTTGGTTATTTTCTAAAATTAAATTGGTAGAAAAACTGTAGTTATTTTCTTGGGTCTGAAATCCAAATTTTTCTTTTCTTCCAAGATTATTATATAGAATGAACATTTTAAGTTATCCAGGGTTATTTAAATTCCAGAGAGTCATCATATAGGAGGGACAAGTCCTAGATATAAGACAACCAGTTGTTCTCATTGCACTTGTTAGGTGTCTGTAGGGCTGCATTTGCCTATTATTGTATCTGGTTTTCACGTAAAGGATTAAAAAGCAACTCACTTCCCTGGTAAGGCTATTAATTGAGCTGGTCTCTATTCCTTTTTCTGAAAAGATAAAACTATAGTTAAAGATATGACTAAATGAAATGAATATTTTGGGAAGATAAAGTATTATTAAGTTCTAAACAAGAAAAGAATCTTTGTTCCTTGGGCAGCTGCAGAAAAGAATTATACTTGATTTCATAGAGCATGCCTAAGTGGCCCAGTCACATTGCTCTGCCTTTCCTGAGATGATCAGACACGTGGATGAGAGTTCAATTCTTTTTTTCATCAGATTCTTCAACCAGGGCAGTAGAAGATGATATAGTGGAAATATGAGGGAGGGAGAGAGAGAAGAGAGAGGGGGGAGAAGGGGACAGAGAAGGGAGAGGAGAGGGAAGAGAGATCTTTCTTGAAAGCAGAGGCATGACTGTCTTTGCTCTGGACAGTCTTTTCAGGGATGTTTGCATGGCTAACAACCTTGAATAGTAGTAGAGTTAGTGTCTTCCTCTAACATGTTTGCTTACTGCTAAGTATAGTATTGTCTCCCTCCAGAACAAAGGGCAGGCACACTTACTGCCCATTCATTACAAAGATTCAAGTTTCCTAAGCTCAGAGTTTCTTTCCTGTTCTGCAACACATTGAGTATACAGGTGTTATCTGGCCCTCTTCACATAGAAGAGGGGAATTGGGAATTGGGGTTTAGGGGACTGTGCACATGCTGCTATTCTAGCTGCAGGTAGTGATGTGAGTATTAAACTGTCCTATGTCTATGACCTAGTAGTCTCATGTTTTCTTATAGGACCCATGAAATTTCAGGCTAACTTACTAGCTTCTAAGTATGGTGAAATCTCAGACCCTTTATATTCTTAATACTTGAGCATAATAAATAGGATGTATTTTGAAAGATTTATTGGAAATTATATTTGTAATTTGTACAAGTTTTAAGAAGTTCATTTAGGATATTATTTCTCCTTGCTTTGACACAGGGTTTGTTTACAATGTTAGCCCATATATGGAGTATCATCCTGGTGGAGAAGATGAATTAATGAAAGCAGCAGGCTCAGATGGAACAGACCTTTTTGATCAGGTAAGATACTGAAAGTTATCATAGTATTACAATGGAAAAGTACTCAGAGATTTAGCAGTGTGATAGTTGTAGGAAAAAAATAAAATAGTTGCATAAATTTCAGATATAAGTAACAACAGTTCATTTAGGTTGCCTTTGAGTTATTTTACTAAACTTTTAAAGATGATTTCAAATCTGTGTCTAGGAATCTACTCTTTTATAAAAACAATTTTTAAAAATATGTTCTTACTAATTTTTAGAGAGAGAGGGAAGGAGAGGGAGAGAGATAGAAATATCAATGAGAGAGAAACATGGATCAGCTGTCTCCTGCACGCCCCCCACGGGGGATCAAGCTTACAACCTGGGCATGTGCCCTGACCAGGACTGGCGACCTCTTGGTGCATGGGTCGATGCTCAACCGCTGAAGCACACTGGCTGAACTAGCCGTCTGCTCTTAAGTGCTTATTGCCTCTGTTGGCAGTTGTTTACTCAGTTTTGATCAATTTTGATAATGATTATGACTGACTTATGGGAGGCAGTGATGATGAGAGGAAAGCAGAGATAGTGCTCTACACATTATTGGATGCTCCAAAAATAGTTGGTAAATGAAATTTTAATTTATGTTAATAAATGAGTGTCTATTTATAATTACACTAGAGGCCCGGTGCACAAAAATTTGTGCACTGGCGGGGGTGGGGGGTGTCCCTTAGCCTCACTTGTGCCCTCTCACAGTCTGGGACCCCTCGGGAGATAACGACGTGCTGGCTTAGGCCCGCTCCCGGGTGGCAGAGGGCAGGCCCAGTCCCTAGGTGCAGCCCCTGGTCGGGCTCAGAGCAGGGCCGATTGGGGGGTTGGGGCGCCGCCCCCTGTCACACTCAAGGCAGGGTCGATGGGGAGGTTGCCGCACCACCCCCTGTCACGCACAGAGCAGGGCCGATCAGGGGGTTGGGGCGCTGCCCCCTGTCTGGCACAGAGCAGAGCCCATCAGGGGGGTTGGGGCTCCGTACCCTGTCACACACAGAGCAGGGCCGATCAGGGGGTTGGGGAGCTCCCCCCGTCACACTCAGGGCAGGGCCGATGGGGAGGTTGCGGCTCCACCCCGTCACACACAGAGCAGGGCCCATGGGGGGGTTGGGGCGCCGCACCCTGTCACACACAGAGCAGGGCTGATCAGGGGGTTGGAGAGCTCCCCCTATCAGGCACAGAGCAGGGCCGATCAGGGGATTGGGGCGCCTTCCCCTGTCATGAACAGAGCAGGGCGGATAGGAAGGTTGTGGCCCCGCCCCCTGTCACACACAGAGCCGCAGGGTGATCAGGGGGTTTGGGCTCTGCCCCCTGTCACGCTGCTCCAGGGGCCAGGAGGCCTCGCGGCTCCACTGATCCCAGTGCTGGGAGGCCTTGTGGCTCCGCTGATCCCGGTGCTGGGAGGCCTCGCAGCTCCGCTTGACACAGGGGCAGTGAGGCCTCACTGCTCCACTGATCCTGGTGCTAGGAGGCCTCGCTGCTCCGCTGATCCTGGTGCTAGGAGGCCTCACTGCTCCGCTGATCCCGGTGCCGGGAGGCCTCGCTGCTCCGCTGATTCCGGTGCTGGGAGGCATATTACCCTTTTATTATATAGGATAGAGGCCTGGTGCACGGGTGGGGGCCGGCTGATTTGCCCTGAAGGGTGTCCTGGATCAGGGTGGGGGTCCCACTTGGGTGCCTGGCCAGCCTGGATGAGGGGATGATGGCTGTTTCCAGCTGGTCACACCCCCTTCAGGATGGGGGTCCCCACTGGGGTGCCTGGCCAGCCTGGGTGAGGGGATGATGGCTGTTTGCAACTGGTCACACCCTCTTCAGGGTGGGGGTCCCCACTGGGGTGACTGGCCAGTCTGGGTGAGGGGCTGAGGGCCGTTTTCAGGCTGGCGGGCAACTGAAACTCCAAACCTCTCCTTTTTTTCTTTTTTTTTTTTATTCTTGGATTTATTTATCTTCTATGGCTGTCACTGGAACTGAGAGCCAGCTTTCTCTCTGAGGCTCGGCTCCAGCTCTGAGACCTTGGCTGCTGAAAGCAGGTATCTGGTTTGTTTGGGTTCTATAATCGAAACACTGTTTCAACTCCAGCTCTGAGGCCCGGCTGGCTGAAAGCAGGTTTCTGGGGTTTTTTTTAGCTTCTATATTTGTAACAATATTTCTTAAACTGTAAGCTCAGAGGCCGGCAGCGGCAGGCTGGGAATGTTGGCTTCCTCCGTCACTGAAGCAAGCAAGCCTCCTGTTTGCTTCCAGCTGCCTGGCTGCCGGCCGCCATCTTGGTTGGCAGTTAATATGCATATCACCCTGATTAGCCAATGGGAAGGGTAGCGGAGGTACGGCTAATTACCATGTTTCTCTATTATTAGATAGGATATATTTTCTTTACATATTTTCTATTTTAGTGTATACTTATTTTCTCAGGAACATACATAAAGATTCTGACATCAGAAGTCTTTGACCTGATTATTTTGGTGATTATATAGTATTTTATCAAATAATATTATAATTTTCCTATACTGGTCTTTTACAATTGGACTTTTAGGATGTTTCCAATATTTTGATGATATAAATAGTGCTGTGATGAGTATCCTGGCACTTGTATCTTTGTGTATATAGACAAATGCAAATATTTTCTCAAGTAAATTTAAAATTAATGAAAGAGATGCATACTTTGAGGCTTTTATTGTATGTATATTGGGAAGGTACCCTTCAGAAAAGTTGTTTAAATTAAATTCCCACTATAAGTCTGGCAACAAATACCCTAATTCATTTTCCTTAAGTGACAGTCTTACTGTGTTCCTTTTCAAGAAAATGTCTATCAGATGCTCGCCTGAATAAAAGCTTGTTTATAGGTCATTCTTTTTCTCCTAAGCCAGGAACAGCCTTTCAAGAAGAAAACTCACTTCAGTTTGCAAATCAAACAATTGCCTAAGGGATTTTCTGCAGGGTCACCATCTTACCTTGCAGTAGAAGTGCTTTTGAGGACTTCCATTTTGTCACACGGAATATAGAAAAGATTTGTACTCAAGGGTTGAGATTTAAGAAATTTAATAATATTTTCTACTTCCTGAAAGATGTTAAATGAAACCACGGGTCTGGTGAAGAATATAATGATTTATGCTACCTTAATTTATGCTAAGATGAAAGCTGCTTTATCCACCATTGCAGTTTTGACATTAGTGCCAATGTTAACATAATGAAAAAGGCAATTTTTTGTATATTTTGAAACTAATCGAGACCTCATGGATATCTGAAAGGGCATCAGGAACCTCCAGGGGTCTATGGACAACACGTTGAGAACATTGTTACCCTATGTATGCTACCTTTCCATCACTCCCTTATTGGCAAATAATCTGCTTCTTCATTTTTCAGAGCAGTGTAAAAATGTTTTAGTTTTGTTTAGAATAAAATCAGAGCATCTCATGGAGTTAGTCATGTTGCTTTTCTGTCATTTCTATCCCATACCAGGTTCATCGTTGGGTCAATTATGAATCCATGCTGAAAGAATGCCTGGTCGGCAGGATGGCAGTGAAACCTGCTGTTCCCAAAGGTATGTGGTGCCAGTGCTAAGCTGGCATTGATATGTGACACACATGTACTTTTTTTAACTTGGATTTCAACAAATAGATTTAAATAAATCACTATATTGTTCTTATTTTCACGGCTGCTATAAAGGTTTTACTTTAGTTCTTCTTTAGAATAAAACAATGACTAACCTTTCCTCTGTAGTCAGGGATTATTCATCACTGATCTCTACTGGCCTGACACCTATGGACAGAGACTATTATTAGATGGGTTAACTGTGTAACTGTCCAAACTGGGGCAGGTTTGATTCTGTTAGTAATTATGCTGGGATAACGTGGTAAATTGACTCTGACAACCCAGGGCATGTGTTCACTTTATAATCAGAACTCCTGGATGCAGTAAGAACAGAGGATGAAAACAGAGGTGAAGTGAGACTAGAGGATGAAACTAGATTAAATAGAAATAGAGAATGAAAACATGAAGTGGGAACAGAGAGTGAAAAGAGATAAAGTGGGAATAGTAGGTGGAAAGAGACTTGCTGAGATGAGGATTTGTGGAGGTGGGGTGGGGGTGGGGAGACGGTGGATATATTGAAGAGGAATTTTATATATGGACTTCTCTCAATACCAGACCCCTGACACCATCATTTAGGTGGGGTCACCTGCCAGACATCAATGCAGGGGCATCCAGAATTGGCATTTTGTGGGCACTCGCACAGTTGGGCAGTGTAGTTTTCATTTTATCTGGTTGTTTCTAGTGTGGCAGTGGTGAAATGCCTGGTAATCTAGGAAGGAAACAGAAAAGCCAGCAGAGTCAGAATATAAAGCACTAGAGGCCCAGTGCACAACATTCGTGCACTCAGGGGCGAGGGGGTGGTCCCTCAGCCTGGCCTGCACAGCCTGGGAGTCCTTGGGGGATGTCCAACTGCCAGCTTAGGCCCGCTCCGCAGTCAGACATCCTTAGTGCTGCCACGAAGGTGGGCCACTGAGCTCGCCAGCAGTCAGCCCAGCTTGTGGCTGAGCAGTGCTCCTCCTGTGGGAGTGCGCTGACCATCAGGGGGCAGCTCCTGCATTAAGCATCTGCCCCCTGGTGGTCAGTGCACATCATAGCAACCAGTCGTTCTGCCATTCGGTCAATTTGCATATTACCCTTTTATTATATAGGATAATACTAGTGGATCCTTATTAAGCTAACAGTGTGATTTTTATATTTCATTGTTTTAAAAAATATTATGGTTTATGCTTTAGAAAGATATCAATAAAGAATAAAAAGAAACTTTGAAAAGGTAAGCTGTAGTTGCTGATAATTTCTTTACATTCTCTGTCAGAGATGAAAATGTTCTTACTCTTTGCCCTTATTCTAGTCCATTTCTGTCATGGTAGCCACTAACTAGCCCCATGTGGCTATCTAGCACTCAAAATATGCTTAGTCCAAATTGAGATGTGCTGAAAGTATAAAGTATACACTGCATTTTAAGACTTTAAGTATGAAAAAAAGTGTAAAATATCTCATCATTTTTATATTGATTACATGTTGAAATGATAATATTCTAGATATAGTATATTAAGTAGATATATTATTAAAATTAATTTAACCCATTTATTTTTACGTTGCTCATGTTGCTGTTAGACAATTAGAAATTATACTGTGGCTTGCATTGTATTTCTTTTGGACAGTGCCATTCTAGATCATAAATGTACTTTTAAAAAATTCACCATAAGTCACATTTCTAAAATCTCATATTTTCCAGTGGCATAGTACGGTCTCAGGAATGTTTCTTCTTTAATTTCTCATTGCTTTATCATGATTTCTAATACTTTATGTTTTAGTTTTCACCCCACTCTCAAGCAGTTAATGACTATAAGTCACTTAGAACCATGGATCCAGAGAATAGTTAAGATGTGGAAGAGGGACTTAGAGCTGCTCTAACACCCTCAGTTTAAAAGTGAGGATGCTGAGGCTTGTTTGTATATGTACATTTCCAACGGCTTTAGTTATTTAATTATCCATTTTTACATAGTCAGTTTTCTTTTGCATATGCCAGTGGTTTTTAACTGGGGTTGATTTTGATCCTGGGAGATAGTTGGCTATGTCTGGAGACATTTTGGTTGCCACAACTAAGCTAAATGCTCCTGGCATTCTAGTGGTTAGAGGAGAGGTTCGGGATGCGGCTAAGTACCCTATAACGCACAGGATAGAGTCCCACAATAAAGATTTATCCAGCCCCCAGTTTTTATAGTGTTGAAGTAGAGAAACCCTCATATATGAATTAGTTTTTTATCCTTAAAAAATTATAGTATTAGTGGCACATGTCTGTGAAGTTGGTATGTAAACAAGACAGCATTGGATGGACTGGAAGTTCAGCTTCTCAAGAGTCAGTGTTCTTTTTCCTAAGAGCATCAGTTTCCTCATTGGTAAAATGGGGACAGTTCAGGGCTTAAGTGGGTGGACAAAACACAAGCTCAGAGGCTTATGTTGGGGGAAGCTAGACAGTTACTAGTGGAGGAAAAGGGACAGGGTGCCATGATGAAATGGCCTTTATTGAATGAGCAAATTTGATATCTCAGATTACCTTAATTTGCTTTTGCTACTAAAGAGTCTCTTATATTAGTTTAATCCTGGGATTTTTTCAGAGTATGTATTTGAACTATTCAGTTTCTATTGTAATTCTACTGGTAAACTGCTTCTAGGATAAGGAGTAATTCTGGGCCTTGAAGTTTCAAAGATGTATAACATTTAAAGATGATTCAGAAGATGATTACAATGATGAATAGAGGAAAGTAAAAGGTAAAGAGAGTTAAGAAATAGAAAAATTATGAAATTTTATAAGATATGAGAAATGAGTATATAACTTTTGAAACAAAATCAAGAATTAGGCCTAAGTTGTGTTATGAGGAGTTCCATTTAGAGATAATGGAAGAATGTCTAGAGACAAAATGGTTGTTAAACACATTGTAGAGAGCCAAAGAGTCTTCTGGCAAGGCTAAGCAGTGAAGGGAACACGATGGTATGTTTTGGACTTTGTGACTAAGATCTCTGGTAACAAGACTAAACTTATATCTGATGGTTTCATGATATTAACCTTTTTAGAGTCAGAAGGGAAGATGAGATATGTAGCTACATGATAAATGGAAAACATTCTGATACAAATGCTCAGTATATATCTTCCTAAAATGTTTTTTCAAGGCCTTTCTGACAAATGCATGTATACTTTTAAAATGTAGCTAAATATTACTTCCTTAGTGGAGTCTTTCTAATTCCTTGTAAGTACAGATGCCCACCCTCTGTAGGCTCCCGTATTACCTTCTACATACCTCTTTTACAGCATTTATCACATTGAATTAAAAAGAATATATGTAATGACATTTTGTTTTTAGTTAGGTTTACTTAATTTTTGAGTCAGTAGTGCATTCACACAATTCAAGAATGAGAAGTGCTCTTATCATACTTGTCTCCCCTCTACCCTTCTCTCCTTCCATGCACACACAAAGGTAACCATATTACTACTTTTATTGTGAATCCTTCCAAATTATCTTCATTCATGTATAGGTAAACTATCTATATATTTACATTGTCCTAACTTTTTATCCAAATAGTTTCTTATTATGTCAGTATCCCTGTTAAGATGATGATCAACAGGTATATGTTAAAAGAATGAGCATACTGGCAAAGCAGGGTTTTTGTTTCTTTTTCACCCCAGGGGATCTGCCTGTGGCTCCACTCAGCAGAGGTGAACTAGATTGGGGTCACACACAATTAAAGTGCTTACCCAGCCCTCTTACCAGAGAAGAGCAGGATGCTGATAGGTCACAGTGCGAGCCTTCCTAATGACCCTGACCTCTCCACAAAGCAGAGGTTCCAAGCAGAGTAATGCAGTTCATACGACATTATGAGAAAAGATAAATTCTCTTGGCCATGGAGCCAACCAAATGATGAATTAGTTATCAAGACAGAATAACAGGTTTCTAATCAGATAGCAAAGTGTCTCGTGTCAGTGACTAAAATGATTCAGATGTAAATATGCTTAATAGCCAAAAAATTGTCTTTTTATTTCTATGACTCAGTTTTTGAAAAGAGCTGCAAAAGTAGACTCATAGAGTTTTTAAAGATAATTTAGATCATTTGGTTAGAAGTTCTTTTCCTACTGATACTTTTTGTATTAAAAAAAGAACCAGGGAAAAATTGCTAATTTATCAGGATCCAGAAGATTCTGACAGATTCAAATCAATTCAGATCAAGCAAGAAGTGAATACATATTTTTCAGTGGAAACTAATTACTTGGACAATTTCTCAAAATCTGTGAGCCTCTTAGATAAAAACAAATTGTTTTACATGATAAATGAAATTCATCAAACTGCCAGCTGTGTGGTACACTGAAAATAGATTTACTTGTGATACTGCTGTTCTAAGATAAAACAAAGAATCACAACTGCAGTAGCAAAGACAGATAAAACTGATTGAATGAGAGTGACTAAGCAGGGACATCAGCGGTCCCTTGAAAATTATAATGACTAGATTTTTATCTGGCATTTGATAAAAGCTCATTTTAAGTTATAGTCTAAATGGTTTTTAGGTCTTTTGTGTTTTCAGTGAGTATTAACTCTAGCAATGTTATAGTAAGTGTGGTGCTAAGTTTCAGAAAAGATGGAGTCTAATCTTGGCTTTGCTGCTTAAGAGCTGTGGATTTCATTCAAGTTCTGGACCTCTGATTTTCAGTCATAAATAGAGGATCACATAATAATTTGCTATATGTTGTTAAGATTCCTTTCAGCTATGAAATTATTTTGGAAAATGGTGAAAATAAACAAAAAGGCTGGTCATCTGGCCCCCTTAAACATGATTATTTTATGACAGGTGCGTGAAATGGAGGTTATTATGGGATTCTCTGGTTGATTGAAAATCAGAACATAAAAAATGTGAAAGCTTTGATTTAAGTTTTTTTTTTCTGTAAAACAATGTATTATCACTCTAACAAGCGATGTCTTTCAATTTACTGCTTGATATTTTGTGTTAGCTTGTCATTCAGTTATTTTTTTAAACCCTGGCAACTTGCTGTGGGTTTTATTTTGATGATATGGTATAACTCTTGTGATCAAGCTATATAGATTGGTGAGTTGGCTGCCATCCTGAAAAACAATACCTGTTAAATTTTTTTTTCTGGGTTGTAACACTAATAATTGCATTTTATGTACATATGAAAGTCAACATATTTTCAGCATTATGGCCATTTAAATTTGGAGTAACAGTGGCAATTTTAAGTACTGACCTAGATAAAAGAGAAACATAATAAAGTATCATCCTTTGGGTTGTTAATATGTACGTTTCATTTCTAGAATATAATCTAATAAATTCTTGTTAATTTTTGACTAATTTAAAATATGATAACCTGGAAAAAACTTGGGTTTTTATATGTTTTCTTAAAAAGTTAATCAGGATATTAGAAAAAATACTCAAATAGGTAGATAAAAAGCCCAGTGAAATGTCTGGAGAGATGGCCTGCCAATCTTCAGAGCTGAAACTTGTTTGAAACATGAGCCCTTATTTATCTCTCAGACCTTAGAAAAAAGCCCTTCAAGAAAGAAGGGCTGATATCTTTAAGTCAATAATATTAACTGATATTCTCTTTGGCATTATAATATTCTTATCTGACTTTTTTTCTAAATCACTGTACAGACTATCATGAGGAAAAGAAAGTCTTAAATGGTAAGTCATACATTTATAGTGAAAAATGAATCATACTCACTTGATAATATATAATATTGCTTTACAGAATTACCTGGGGTATTCAGATATATTTTTAGGCTAATGATGTCTTTACTTCCCCAAACTTAAAGGATTGACAGAACTCTATAGATCCCATATTCCAGCCATTACTCTAATAGTAGTCCCCTCTATGACATCCCTGAACATGTGTTCATCTGCCCTCAGCTTGAAGACTTGTGGTCATTAGGAAGTAAGACTGAACAAGTCACCTCCCTCGGCCATGTGAGGTCACCTCCAGTGTTTGCATACAGATGCTCATAGCCTATTAACCCAATCTTCTCCAGCTGGGCTCAGCAGCAGTGCCTTCTTCAGACATTCAGTATGACTTGGAATTATAACTGAACTATATTAATGTATGTGTAGTAATAGGGTTTTTTCTCTCTGAAAAAGAAAGTTTTAGAAAGTCAGCTAATAAGCTAAATTGCCACATGAGTTATCTGTATATAAAAAAAGCCTAAGCGACCGTCCTACCGTCCGACTGGTAGCTTAGACGCACACTGACCACCAGGGGGCAGATGCTCAATGCAGGAGCTGCCAAGCTGTGGTGACTTGGCAGCTGCGGTTCTCAGGTACCTGGAACCAGAGAGAAAGGAGGCTGATTCCGGGGTGCGTCACCCAAGAACCACCCTCTCACAATCTGGGACCCCTTCGGGGATGTTGGAGAGCCAGTTTTGGCCTGATGCCTGCAAGCCAGGCTGAGGGACCCCACTGGTGCATGAATCCGTGCACCAGGATTCTAAGTAGAGAAAATAGTCTGTACTGTAGACTAATTTATGCAGTTTGCAATGTAACAACCGAAGTTGCTTATCCAATAGTATAACACTGCATAAATGAGGCACTGATCTTAAATTTCATCTGATGATTGGCTCTTCTGTAATACTACACAAACAACCTTCACTTAAAGACTAATTACTGATGGACTGGGCATTTCATTTCCCACCACATATGGCTTCCAGAACCTTTACTTTCTTACTGCCCTGCTTTGGATACATTGCATTTAACTACTACCTCAGTTAAAGATGTCCCTAAAAATGGACTATAACATACCAGTGGTCTGGCTAGCACAGTTACCTCTTAAGACCTTAGATCTCTGAGACTGTTATACACACACATATACATGCAGGGGTAAGCAAAAGTAGGTTTACACTTATAAGGAAAAATACATGCAGGTTATGATTATAGTAATAATACAAGAATAAACTTTGTTTCACCTACTCACAACTGTAAACCTACTTTTGCTGTATTAGCTGCCTCTCATGTTCGGCTCATTTAAGTCTTGGTGGTAACTGTATGTATTTGTAGATGTGATCTGCCTGCCTTCTAAGTCTTTATTCATACAGTTGTTTAAAATACTGAATAGAATAAACTACTATAGTATTCCACCAGAGACTTGATCTCTTCAATTTGATATCAGTCCATCAATCCGAATTTTGGAGAGGGATAATATCCATTCAGTCCAACTTGCTTTACCTAATTATTTTACTCCACCCCACATTAATCTCAGATTCCTTCAACTTATCCCAAGGATATAATGTGTAAGGTGTGTATTATTTGGCCTATGGCATTATTCTCTCCTAATAATTTATATGTGTATGGTACTATGTAGTTTTTAGAATGTTTTTATTCTGTTTATAGTTTTTTCTTATAGAAATTCTTAGATTGTGATGTGTTTATTTATATAAGAGGCCTCCAAAAGATTATTTATATATATAAATATATATATATATATATATATATCTATATATATATATCTTAATAAAATATCTTTTAAGGCTTCTCAAGAACTTAATTTTGTTTTTTCTTGTTTTTATCATTTTAGAAAAAATATATTTTGATTTATTGTAGTCTTATCTCTTTTATTATACCTGTAGTTTTGTGGTAGAGCATTCTTCTTTAGGCTCACTGCTAATTGCTTCATATCTTTGGCCTTCTGTCACATCTCAGAGACTTCCTTTGTTTATCTGAAAATTAAGTGTGTTCTGCAGAGTTCCATGGGATGAGACGGACACTAAGTGAGTAAGGCCTGAATTCAGGGTTCTCAGTCAGCCTCATCCTAAAAATATGGCTGTTTGACACCTGGGCTTGCACTTAAACTTGTGTTTCAACAGAAGATTTTCCGACTAAAAAGCATCTTGAAAACCTCTAAACTAGTTTGTCTTAAAGGCACCTCCCAACTCTAACTTTATATAAATACTGTGACTTCTAATTTGAGAATTTCAAGACTCACCAGAAACTAAACATTACTTTCCTTTCCTACACAGTTTGAGAAATAATATAATCAGTGTAGTGATTTTCAAAAGTCTTTTAGCAGTAGTACTCTTTTTCCCAAAGAAAATTTTATAGATACAGCAGTGCATTCCTGTTGTGGGAGGAAAATATTTCATGTTTACAGTATCTACAGAATTCTTCCATGTCTCAGAGTTTTCCAATACAACTTTGAAAACCACAACTTTAATGGACATTTAGAATGTTTTGTTGATGTATGCCCAAAAGAAGGACTGAAATGGAAAAAAACAATACCGCATGTCAGTGAGGTTGTAGAACAACTGGAACCCTCAAACACTTTTGGTGAAAAGTGTAAATTGGTACAACCATTTTAGAAAACTGTGTAATAGTATCTAGCAAAGCTAAGCATATGCACATCCTATATACCTACCAGAAATGTGGATATATGTTTTTTAAGAATAAACATGTACAATAATATTTATAACAGCACTTTGCATAATAGTGAAAACTGCCCAACAAGAGAATGAATAAATTTTGGTACATTTATACAGTGTAATACTACTCATTAATAAAAACGAACAAACTACTGAGGCATTCAACAGCATGGATAAAATCTCAGAAAGCTCCAGGTTTGATTTATTGCTATCAATCATGCTTATTTGACATAAGAACTGTAATTTCTATAATGCTGGACAAAAAAAAAAGTCAGATCAAAAGAACATGTCATATGATTCCATTTTTAGAAAGGTCAAATACATGTATAATCTAATCATGATGTTATAAGAATAATGATTACCGTTGGAAGGGTGGTGATCAGGAGGGGTTACAAACAGGGTACTGGGTACAGGGTATGTTTTACTTTATGAACATTTATTGAGTAGTACATGAGAAGTTTACTGAAAAGGTTAAAATAAAGAAAAGTACTGCCTCGATGAACTGTGGCTATTTTGTTTATTTTCCTTGTGAAGGCATGCTTCCCAAGAGCCAAGTGCCAGATGCACTTGCCAAAGAAGGCCCGGTTTCTCCAAGGTATGCCTTCTTGTTTTACTCTTTCAAAGCTAAATCAGTTTTAGACCAAAATATACACATTAAAATATAAAACAGCGATGGGTTTGATTTATTGCTTACTATATTAGTCATGCTTCTCTGACATAAGAACTTTCTTTATCAGACATTATTGGAGAATGAACTGTTCTGTAAATTTGAGTGTTTAATATAACTGAAGTTTGATTCATTTAAACACCAATACTTTAATAAAACGATCAAAATACTTTTTATTATAAAATATACATTTTTGGTAGAAAACTTGGAAAATGCAGAGAAATACAAAAGAAAATGATAAAAATCAATTGTTAATACCACCAACCTTAGATATATGGTCTTAATATTTGGTTTATTCCACCTGGTTTGATTCATATAATAACTACTTCAATATTATTCTCTTTTGAAAATATTAGTATTATGATATATTCTATGCCCAATTTCCTATGTTATTAAATATTCTATAAAAGCATTTTGTCTGCATTCTTTTATATGACCATTATATGACCATACCATAATTTATTGAACTATTCTGTTCTTTGTATATCTAATTTTTTATACAATTTTTAATACTAGAAGTCCAGTGCACAACATTCGTGCACTGGGGGGGAGGGGTCCCTCAGCCCAGCCTGCACCCTCTCGCAGTGGGACATTCCCCGAGGGGTCCTTAACGCTGCTGCAGAGGTGGGAGAGGCTCCTGCCATCACTTCTGCACTCGCCAGCCATGAGCCCGGCTCCTCCGTTGGGCATCTGCCCCCTGGTGGTCAGTGCACATCACAGCGACGGTCGTTCAGCCATTCGGTCGATTTGCACCTTAGCCTTTTATTATATAGGATATGAAATGTCCATAGTCCATACATATATATGGACTATGGATATTTCACATGTCCTCAGAGTTATTTATGTTATTTGTAGTTTTTTCTCTTTCTGCCTTTTTCCCTGTTGTTGGTCTATATTATATCAGCAGCATCCTCCTATATTTGTTAAATTATTTCATATGCAATCTTCTAAATTATTTTATATATGTTAAGGTCCTAAGGATACCTCCTCTAGGATTTACTTATGGGTGCCTATATGTAGGTAATAAGTTCAAAACAGTAACAGTTTGATTAATAGGTATTACAAAACAGAAGACTTAGTTTTACCTTAAGTTTTACTGTTTACTCAATAAACCACCTTGATGAATTAATTTCTTGAGTAATAATATTTGTGACAGGGAGGAGTAAAAGTTATTATAAGCATGTAGATTTTGTTATGTTCCTTAAGAAAACATATTGTATTTTGTTTGTTCTGATGAAAGAAAATTTTAGTAAGGAGATGTGTAACTTTTATAAAAAGTGTCTTGTCGAAAATACCTGTTTGTGTTTTTTTAATCCAAGTTGGAACATGGAAGTATAGGTATTTTAAATTTGGAAAAAATTACCAATTATATAATGGTAAGACCACTGATTACTTAGGAAAAAAGTTTACCTAGAAAATATATTTCTCACTGTAGATTTTTAGTTATTTTAATTATGTTAATGCACATGATTATTGATATAATAATTCATTTTTTTCTTGATATTTTACAGCTATGACTGGTTCCAAACAGACTCTTTAGTCACCATTGTCATATATACTAAACAGAAGGTAAACATATCTTTAAAATCAGAAAAAAAAATAAGTGTTAACTATGTGCCAGGTACTTTTCTAAGCATTTTTCTTTTATTAACTTATTTACCCCTCACCATTTACCTCAATGAGGTAAATACTTTTGTCATTCCTGCTTTACAGATAAGAAAACAAAGAGAGATTAAATTATTTACCTAAAATCACATAGTAAGTTGCAGATCTAGCATTTTGAACCCAGGCAGGCTAGCTCCATTGTGTATGCTCTTAACAACCACACTATAGCCTCTTAGAAAAAACTAGACTAGCAAGTATTATATGTGCTTTTCTATGATTTTTTTTTTTGAAAGCATGGATGGCAAAGCAAGAATCCCATTTAACTTCACCATGAGAACTAATTTCGTGACCATAAATTGGGATTTGAGAGACAGGAGAGACTACTGCTGTGGCTTAGAATAGGTAGACCACTAATGGGGTTCAGATGCCCTCTTGAAATTAAAATTCAGGACATAATTCATTCACCATCTCTTGAACCTACTTTATTTGCAGTGCTCTCTTAGATGTCAGGGATCTAATAATATGCCAGATACATAGAGACTTGGCTTTTATTGGGCTTATATTCCAGTTGGGAAATCAGATAAACAGGCAACTTACAACATTTCCAAACACATCCTCCAGCAACTGACAAGGTTCCCACACTTGAGAAACCATGTGGATTTAAAGACAAGTTCTAGCAGCTAGGAGTTTCTAAGAATCCATGCTACTTCTGTAGTAGCAAAACCACATCTGAGCCAGTGAGCCCCTCTGACTCTTGTAGCAGGACTTGACCATAAGAGCCACCAGCCTCTGCCTGACAGAGCCAGGAGTGCCACAGGCACAGCCTGTTCCGCCTTCCACTCCCCCTCATTATTGTCTCATTACACATTCCAAAACCAATAGGGCAGCGCCTAAGGAAGCTGGGTTTACTGCCTTTAGTAATATCAGTGAGGCACAGAGGATGGATGACTGTGTGTTATTATGTGTTCAGTGTAAGGTGTAAATCAACAATTCTCAACCTTTTTATTTCATTGCACACACAAACTACTAAAATTCTGCAGCATACAAAAAAATATGCTATTTTTTGCCAATCTAACAAAAAATGGGTATAATTTTGATTTGTTCACACTGGACGACTATTGTGTTGGCTGCTGTCATTTTTTTTTTTTAATTTTATTTGACAGTTTAAGGCAGGGTTCTCAACCTGTGGGTCGCGACCCCTTTGGCGGTTGAACGACCCTTTCACAGGGGTTGCCTAAGACCATCCTGCATATCAGATATTTACATTACGATTCATAACAGTAGCAACATTACAGTTATGAAGTAGCAACGAAAATAATTTTATGGTTGCATCACAACATGAGGAACTGTATTTAAAGGGCCAGAAGGTTGAGAACCACTGGTCTAAGGGAAAAGAGGTCCGTAGCCCTGCCTAAATAGTCAGGTATTGCATTTTTAAGTTTTTTATTGAATTGATTGGAGTGACATTGGTTCACAAAACCATACAGATTTCAAGTGCACACACAATTCATTAAAAACCATCGGCACACTGTGTGGTGCACCCACTGCCCCAAGCATACTCTCTTTGCCTCTGTATCCACCAGCTCTTTGCCTAGGCCCCACCCTTGTTGCTCCCTCTGGCTGTCACCACACTGTTATCTGTGTCTGTGTGTTATGTATATGTTTTTTGTTTAATCCCTTCATCTTCTTTCATCTAGTCCCCCATTCTCCCTGCCCTCTGGTAGCTGTCTGTTCTATGTATTTATGCCTCTGTTTCTATTTTTGGCTAAGATCCAGTATAGATGTTACATCTTTTAAAAATTCTTTTGGCCTGGCTGGTGTTTCTCAGTGGTTTTTTCCCAAGGAGAAGAAAAGGGAAGGGTAAGAGGTCCCCAGTTAGATTCCTGGTTAGGACACATGCTAAGGTTTCAGGCTCCATCCCTAGTAGGGGGTGTGCAGGAGGCAGCTGATCAATGATTCTCATTGATGTTTCTATATCTTTCTCCCTCCCTTTTTCTCTGACATAATAAAAATGTATATTTTTAAAGTATAGTTGTAGAAGTTTGGGAAAAAATACTTTTAATCTTTCTCATTTTCCTTTCTATTTAAGGATGTCAATTTAGACTCAGTAATAGTTGATCATCAGTATGATTCCTTTAGAGCAGAAACTATCATCAAGGATTATTCATATCTTATACATATTGGTAAGTACTTTATTCTTTATTAGTAGAAACAACTCCAATGTTCTTTACATATGGCAATAACTTGGTCTGAAGTCTAGGTACTAAATATTTATCTTCTATTATTTTTTAATCCTCACCCAAGGGTATGTTATTTTTATTGATCTTTTTTTTTTTAGAGAGGAAAGGGGGAGAGAGAGAGGGGAAAAAAAAGAGACATTGATGCAAAAGAGAAACATCAATCGGTTGCCTCCAGTATGTACCCTGACCAGGGATCAAACCCAAAACCCATGTATGTGCCCTGACTAGGAATTGAGCCTGCAACCTTTTGGTGCACAAGACGACATTCTAACCAACAGCCACCAAACCAGGGCTATCTTCTATTATTTTGGTTTAATATTTGATATGCTATCATTTTGGTTTATCATTTTTATCACTTTTTTCTGATATTTCTTTCTATTAATGTAATTGCTAGCAAATGGCAGTATAACCTCCCCTTTCTCAAGTTTAAATAATTAGATGTAATCAAAATAAATAATAACATGAAATATTTGTTGGCCCAGCTTTGTCAGACTCTTCCTGACACCTACAAACTAATCTCTGGAAGCCTGTCTGTCACATGCTTCTAATAGGCACCCGTCACCGGGTGCTGGTTTCATTGGCCTGTTTCTTGCCAGCTGGGTCACAAGGAAGTCAGGCTGCACTGAAGCAGCATGGACTGCAAGGTTGTATTATATCCCTCCATGGTCAAAGACCCACTGTACAATTCACTTCTGTCTGTTTTGAGAGATTACAGATCTATCAAAAGAAAGAAAATCAGGACTGAAATTTGGAATAAAAGATACCAGATTCTGAATCCATTTTTGACCCATAATGAACTTAACTCTAGGATTTCACTCTTTTCTCCTTTTATGAAGATGATATTCTAATTAGCAGGTAGAAATGAAATAAACAAAAACAACAGCAAGTAGAAAATAATCTTGGTAATTGGTTTAAGTATGAATTCTTATGTATAGAACCTTTCATTTACTTTTGTAAAACACAGACTGAAATTCTCTAGATCTCAGCTGACTCAGGATTCTGCTTGATGCTTTGTTATATTAGTGAAGTGCCTAGAGTCCTGAATTTGGTCAGAGTTGATAAATGTCTTTTTCTTTCTTATTTCCTTTCATTTATTAATCAAAATCAAACCTTTCTCCTAGAAATATGTCCTATCCTACTTTTTGTTAGCCTAAAGTCTAATGTAAATTGCCTCTTTTGGGAGATGTCTAGAAAACACTTAGATGTCTAGAAAAGTATACATTATTCATTAGCACTGTCATAATTTTTCTTTAAATGAAACCTCAGTGCCAGCATCTATTATGTTTCAAATATTACGGCTAATAGTGTTCACACTGCATGTAGCTAACATATCTCTGCACATTTATTAAAAAACAAACAAAAATTCAATGTTCAAAAATATGACACTCATGGTTGGTAATATTGGATCAGAAGACCAAAATAATGTAAAATTTTAAGTTCTAGGTAACCATATTATCACAGTGAAATTTAGAGCAAATGTTTGTAAAATATTTCTTGCATCTCTCCTTCCGGAATGTAAGTTCCAGGGATTTTTCTCTTTTCACCAACTGCTGTGCCCATAACACCTAGAAAGTGCATGGCACACAGAGATGCTCAGTAAACTTTTT